GTATATATTAAATCTTAATGTTTTGGCTGGAATAACAGAATCCATACAAAAATGTACGTATCAGTAACTTTTTCAACTTGATCAAAGTTGAATGTCATCCGCACTGAAAATATCCCACTCTGTACATTCAAAACACCTATGCATAGCCATTATACTATCATTGTTCCATTCTTTAACTGACTTTTCCCGGGGTTTATCCCTTTCAAGTAGTCTCTGATAAACAGGACATAGGTAAACCACACTGTGACCAGCCACTACGAGTGGAGAACTGATGAAGTATACACACATTTTTATCAGTTGTATAGCACATTTCCAAAGTCTTTTCCCTCCTTGTAGTGCTGTCGACATATTGATAATATGTACACAAGCACTTCTTAACATCACAGTTATTAAAATCGCCCATAATAAACTTTGGGGCATCGAGGGAAATTGTTTCAAGTCTCTGAGATAGATTGTAGATGAATTAATTAAATAGACGAATCTGAGATAGATTGTAGACAACTTAATTAAAAAATTGAAGGAAAGGTGAAAAAAACACTTTCTGCCCTCAAACCTTTGAGCAGTTTCTAAAACATAACACTGGAATCACTTCTTGTAATTGGAAAACATACAAATGAACTGGTTAAATTACACAGAAAAATATTTTTGCTTTTGTAATTGTGCTTAATTGCTGTAATAGTGCTGGGCAAATGTGACCTTGTGAAAAAATTCCAGATTCAAAAAGCAAGCTCTCATAGACACACAACACCACAGTGCCAACAGCTGCATCCTGGGGAACAAAAGACCACTGTGTAGACACAATTTCCCTCTGGCCACACTGCCACAAGGCAAAGAAACACACACACACAATCTCACAAAGTACACAAAGCGGCCCGTGACACACTCTGTGAGAGTGATCCGGTTCAGCACGTCCGAGACATTCACAACCACCATCTCCCCCCAGAGGAATCCAGACAAGAAAAGCGTATCATTTTTAGCCCGACTTCAATTAACCGCAAGTCTCCAAACATCTCTCTCTCTCTCAAACTACTTCAGTACGCCACAGAACTAAAAGGTTTGTTTGCTTAAAATAGCATCTTCACATTTCGAAAGTCGACAAGATGCACAACGTCTAGTGTCTGACAGCCAAAGAAAACTGATGTTTGGATCTAACCAGTCCTGATCTGGGCTTGTAAACCAGGCATTAAACACTTAAGAGACTTTACCTAGCGCTAATTCACAGAGGAGATTAGCATGGAGCCTGGAGCTAATGAGAGGAGCTTTCTCTGTTCCTTGGGCGCTCCTTCTTTTGCTCAAACAAAACATTAGCAGATAATGTAACGGAATTAAGAAGACAAAAGCTTCAGATTGGATATTGATCAGAGGAGTGAGGTGGCAGCATTTCGGCTGGTTAAGCCTGTGATGAGGTGATTGATCCACAATGCTTGTCCTCACGTCTCAAGCTGTCTGGCAGGACTATAGTCTGCCTGACAAAGGCAGTGAATAGAACCACGAACCAGTCCGACATTGAGACACAAAGAATGCAGAACACTCACTGCAAAACCGTTCAAAAGGATGACAGACAACGGATGACAAAAAGAAAGAAATACAACTACAAAATCAATGTAAATTTAGGCGTCAGATGATGCACGCACTTGTATTGGCATGTAGAAAGTTGGTATAAGCACTCAGTAATGATGTAGAATATTCAATGTAAGGGTTCTGCAATGATGTTGAAGGTTCAATAAGAGTGACTCGGAGCAGTGCCGATGCCTGCTGATCTGAGACCAGCTTTAAAGATCAGAGCTGAAGGCTTGGATTCTAAAAGACAAGCACTGATCTCCAGCAAGACAAGGGCCGCAGGGATCAATGTAAAATCAATGGTAATTGTCAGTGTTTTTCTATGCGCCTGGATCAGAGATACCAATTTAACCTAGCAGGAGAAAAAGTAAAGAAAGTAGACATAAATATGTACTATATAGCACTAAGGCTGGCTAATATATAGTTTCAGTATCGATATCACAATGTGATCATTCACAATAGTTACATTGCAGGATCTGCAATGTTGAGTTTGTAATATAATTTATCATTTGAATGTGTTTTTTAGGCCTGTGAATATATGAGGAATTAATAAACATTTAGACATTACAAATTGTTCTTTTGTGGCTATAATTTTATTGAATAAATTTTATCTTTATTATTTAATTACTATACCTGACAGGCAAACTCGTTAGATTCAAAAAACAAGAAAATTTTAAAACAATAAAATTGAAAACATTAACATTTCTATGGTATCTTTTTCTTTATTGTATGTATTTATTGATTGTATATTAATTTTTATTTAGATGCACTCCCACTGCAGAATCATCCAAAATCATTTTAAAATGATCAATCCTTTCAAAATAGAGATCAAGTTGGAGATTTAAGTAATCTGGTGAAATTATATTCATATTACAATATATATTGCAGAATAACAAAATATAACAATGTTAGATTTTTCCAATATCATGCAACCCTTTATAGCACTGACCACGTATACCAAAATGAAACAAAAACTGTACATCGTGGTGTCTCAAGATGCAACTTAAAAAGGACGGAAATGCTTCCCCTTGCATTTTTAATTTACAAGCTATTCACAAATTAAAATATATATGGACTATAAGCAGATTTTTTTAAAGTTGTATTTTTAGACTCATTGTTTTTAAAAATGACTTGTTATTTAATCCCCACACGTTCGAGTGGTAATGTATTTCTGTCTACGAGCAATTCCATGCAAATGTCAACCCTGCCATGAAAAAAAATTACGTTTTTAGCAAAATAGTAAAACCCTTTCTATGTTTTTTGTGTAGGCTAGTATTTAACAGTAATCTAAAATACTCAAAAATGTCTTTGTCAAGGTTCTCAATCAACTATTTGATTTACCAAAGTCACATAATTGGCAGTTTCACATCGGTTACATCCATAATGTAGCTTTTTTCTTCATTATAAATACAAAAATATAAAAATAAAATAAAATCAATCATTTTTGTTCTATAGTGAGCCAACTCTTATCCTTTTGATTAGCATTATTTCTTTTGGGTTGTTCAGTTTAATTCACAGAATGTTTTTGGTCACATGCATAATTCATGTTTATTTCCCCCATTTAACGTATACATTTTTTACAAATTGATATTTTTCTCTGTGGTGAACTCTGTGGTTAGCTGTTTTGGAAAACAGATGCTTCAATACAATGTTAACGTATACTTTCTCAGTGAATTTATGTTTCGAGTTTTACTGCAGATGCCACATCCATAAAGCTGGAATAGTTCCTACTTAAAACTTCAAGGATAAAATTAATTCAAATATTTCCTTACTGAGTCCCACACAGATCGATATCATATCTGAGTCCATAAATATTAAAAGCACTTAGTTCACATGATACATTTAAATTTTTTTATTGTATTTCGTACACTACCGGTCACTAGGGTACACTTGTGGTCAGTAAGAATTTTAAATGTTTTAAAATAAGCTTCTCCTGCTCACCAAGGCTGCATTTATTTAATCAAAAATACAGTACAAATTGTAAAATTGTGATATGTTATTGCAGTATATTAGTGGTGGGCCGTTATCGGCGTCAACGTGCTGTTAAAGTGAGATTCTTATCGTGCAATAAAAAAATATTGCTTTTAATTTATTCTCAAAGTTGGGTTGGAAGCTGGGGCTATTCTACACAAGCTATGAAGACTTTTACCTTGATATTTTAGCGAGGATGTATACCTGACCGGTAAGCCATCTGACAAAAAAGTGCCCTTCTGAATGAAAGGATGCCTGACTTTAACTGCAGTTTAACAGTTTCAACTCATGAACATTTCATTCATCCCCCGTGACAAACTGGGGTACTAGACGCAAATAAGGAGTAAGGACAGGTGAGAGTGTTATGGAATTTAATAACGCAGAACCAAATGGAAAGAAAAAAATTCCGCATTTCGCGATTTGTGTGTGTGTGTGTGTGTTTGTGTGTTTGTGCGTTCCGGAGCGGTCCTTTACTGACAGCCGTGTGAGTGGATCTTGTCAGAAAATATGGCGAAAAGTCCTACATGGCGATAACAGTTTGATTGCGGTGTTTACTTCAATAATGCCACTAATATATGCATACTCCATGTATTAATACCATTTCTGTTTAGTTCAGTAATGACTTTCGTCGGATTAAGGTTATCAAAAATCGCTGTTTCGAGCTTATGTAGGCCTAAAATTCATGTTTAACTGAATAAACAGTTAGTAAACACAAGTACCTGTACATCTTATTGAACATCATTTATTTTCATCACCAATTATCATAGTAGAACAGTTTTTCAAGCAGTTTGTGATGCATTTGGAAACAGGAGATGAGCCCCTGGTCTAATGCGCCACCAGGCTTGAGAGACCTGTTCTTAAAGGCTTATTATTTGGGTAGCTAAATGCCTTCGGCAGAATTCAAATGAAGAGATTAATCTAGATTAAAAAAAATCTACTCCCACCTAAAATAATAACTGTTCAGAGAAATTTACAATTTAATTTAATAATTTATTTTCAGCTTCATTACACCAGTCTTTAGAGTCTCATGATTCTTCAGAAATCACTAATAGAAATCATAGTAATAAAAGCAATAATGACTGGAGTAATAATTTCATTTGAAACTAAATGAACATACAATAAGAAAGTAGGTATTTAAAATTTTTATCAATATTTTACAATTTAACACTTTTTTTACATTCAATAAATGCAGCCTTGATGAACAGAATAATACAAATAAAAAAAAACATGAAGAAAACTGATCCCAAACTTTTGACCGGTAGTGTACTAAAAGAGTTGTAATTAAGAAGATCTTCAATATTGCATATAAATCAAAGTCTCAAAGTTACAATAAACTGCTGTTTTGTTAAAACAAATAATTTTTCCATTTTACTGTGCACAAAAGCAGCCGCTCTGTAGAACACCACACAGAGCCTTGAGAGACTTACTGCTTTAACAATGTAACTTTGAGACATGTAAGAGCTGCTTACTGTTCATGTTCTTGAAGATGTTGAGGATGGGAAGAATCTGTCTGTAGTACGGGACCAGTGCTTCACCCACCATCTCTGCTGAAACAACCAGATGCTGCAAAACCTTCAGCGTGGTGCAGATGACCTGTCTGTTCCTTGTGTTCAGAGCATCTGCAGACAGATTGTACAGAGGGTAAAGAGAAGCTCCAGAAAACTCAACATTTTGGCAATGTGTGAAAAATGTTAGCTATGAACACTAATGAGATATTATTTTTGCACATTCTCGCTCTTAGTTTACATTCAAAACCTGGAAATGTTTCCTTCACACATTCTGCACGGATGGAGGAAAGTGTCAATTTTGTTTCTGAAGCTTTCATTTGCATCTTGCATGATTTCCCACAATCCTATGGTTCAGTGGTTAGTGGAAAGAATAACAGAGCGGCTGAAAGAAATAATTAAATTCATAAATATCCATTTTTCAATGTATGATTTGATTTCTCCTGAGAAGTAAGCTTTTATGGTAATTAAAAATATGTTTGGTTATCGCTTGAATGGCTTAATTGAATTTGTTCTAGACCATTAGACATAATGCTATGCTGTATCTGATGCCTGCCGGAAGAAGTTTTCAGGAGTTTTCAGGGAGTTAAAGGGAGAGCTTATTTACACATTTTCACACTATTCAGGCTTTCTTCTGTGAAACATAAAAGAAGATACATTGAGTCAAAGGCCACCAAAGCGGTTAACAACATTCATAAAAACAACCTTTTGTGTTCAGCAGAAAAAAAGACATTTTATTCTGAATGACAGCTGTGTGCCGTACTTTCCCAATCATTTCCATTTACTTGCCGCTCTCCTATATCTGTATCATACACTATGAAATTCTAATTACCAAACAAACACGCCAAACTGTTTTCCAGCAGTGTGACATTTGCACCGAAGGAGTGTTCAATAATTCATGGTGTGTGACGCGTCTGGAGGAGTGAAGATCTGTTTCTAAATCTCTCCAAATAAAGGCACCATTAATTCCACCTTCATATTAGACTCTAAAAATGAACGAGCTCATATATACCTATTCCTTTTCTAAATACCACAGGAGCGCGACATTTAGACACCTCAAGTAATTGCGTTAGTTTAACTCCTGATACAAACACCTTTGCAGTTATTTCTTTGAGAGAGGAGAGAAAGTTGATCCATCCATCCATCCATCGATCGATCGATCGATCGATCGATCGATCGATCTATCTATCTATCTATCTGTCTGTCTGTCTGTCTGTCTGTCTGTCTGTCTGTCTGTCTGTCTGTCTGTCTGTCTGTCTATCTATCTATCTATCTATCTATCTATCTATCTATCTGTCTGTCTGTCTGTCTGTCTGTCTGTCTATCTATCTATCTATCTGACTACCCAACCATTTTCCACACACCTGTCCATTCATCCATACACCCACCCAACCAACCATCTTTCCATCCATCCATCCATCCATCCATCCATCCATCCATCCGTCCGTCCGTCCGTCCTTCCGTCCGTTCGTCCGTCCTCCGTCCGTCCATCCATCCATCCATCCATCCATCCATCCATCCATCCATCCATCCATCCATCCATCCATCCATCCATCCATCCATCTATCTATCTGACTACCTAACCATTTTCCACACACCTGTCCATTCATCCATACACCCACCCAACCATCTTTCCATCCATCCATCCATCCATCCATCCATCCATCCATCCATCCATCCATCCATCCATCCATCCATCCATCCATCCATCCATCCATCCATCCATCCATCCATCCATCCATCTATCTATCTATCTATCTATCTATCTATCTATCTATCTATCTATCTATCTATCTATCTATCTATCTATCTATCTATCTATCTATCTATCTATCTATCTATCTATCTATCTATCTATCATCTGTATATCATTCCACACACCAAACCATCCAACACATCCATCTATTCACCCACTTACCTATTCATCCATACAAACTATTTTTTTAAACAGCAATTTAGCAGAATGAAGATGATTTATGTAATCATCCACCAGGAGTTCATTTATTCTTGATTGTGGCCTTTGATTGGGTCAGTGCAGAACATCACCCTTCTGATTTTCATTCTCTTCAGTGTGACCTCTGCTGTATGTGTAAGGTCAAGTTTTTATTTAGTTTTAAATAACTGTCTCCAGCAAGCTTATTGTGTTAGTGTGATGTGCTGTGCTAGGTTTATGCTAACATCGGGGTCAGCTGTGCTTACAGAACTGCCTAACTGAATTTATTCCTTGTGACACAGAATCAACATGGTGCTGGAAACATTTGTCAGTTTATGATCTACAGTGATATTACAGCATAACGGGATCGTTGCAATTTCTTTTGTTTCGTTTTGGTGAGCCTGTCTGAAATGCAGTCAGTTTGTTATTTTAAGCTGACAGAAGTGACAGTAATTCACTACAAGTAAAAAATGTGACTTTCTGTTGTTGTAGCTCATCTGCTTCAAGGTTTGACATGGAGGATAAGTCGCTTTGTTTGCTGGTTCTGTTCGCTCAACTATTTCATTCTTTGCTGATCCAGTCTAGTGAGAAGATATAAGTTTTCAATTTCCATGCAATGCTGATAACAGAACTGTTTAGAATATAGTAATGTGTTACTATTGTTATGTTAACAGTAACATAGACTTGTTTTGGATTCCTTTTTATCTTATATTTACTTCGTTAAATATTCTTCTGCTCTCCAAGCTATGAGAACATGGCAGCCAGACACACTCTACCAGCACAGCTCAGCATGGTAGCCTAACTGTGCCTAGACTCCAGGCAGGGAATAGTTTATTATCATGCCATGCCATACCAGGCTCTTATGGAAATACTGCTGGAACCATACCTAACTGTTTAGCATAATAGTGGAAGAGCAACTATCGCATTAGTTCTGGCAGGTCCCTAAGCTGATCCATGTCTACCTGTAATATAACACCAATCACATAAGGTCTTTTCAGTTCATTATTCAGCAGCTTATTATTTTGCTCAAGTGCTAATCACCCACCTCCATGCCCAACTGTTCCTCTCATCCAGTCAAGACTTGACATTGGTTATTTTTTACCCAGTGAGTCAGACCACTCAATTACTGTATGTTGTTCTATAAAATAGTCACTTAGAACATAAATGATATCTACTACATTAATCATTACTTTTGCTGCTGTTCTGTTCACCATAGGGGGTTATTCACACTCTGCCCATTTCTATCTATGGGCAGGGAGTGTTTGCTCAGAACAGAACCATATCCCCAATGCAAAATGTATGTTAGTTTTAAGTTATCTTTGACTTTAGTGATGCTCTTCTACAGAGTCTGACCTCAGTTGAAACAAGTGTTTATTTGTATTACTGTTGTCTTTCTATCAGCTCAACAAGCTGTTCTCTATGAAAAAGAATTTTCACCAACAAAACTGACCCTCACTGGAATTGTTTCTTATTTGGACCATTCTCTGTAAACCCCAGTGATGTCTGTGTGAAAATCGCAGTTGATCTGCCAATTTTTTAAAATACTCCGACCAGTCAGTCCAGGCCAACCTGGAACCAACAACCATGACATGTTTAGAGTCACTTATATGCCATTTCCTTTCCCTTTTGATGCTCAGCATAACTTCCTCTTGACCACATCTATATGCCTACATGAGTTGCTGCCAAGGGATTGGCTTATTAGATATTTGCATTATCAAGCAGTTGAACAGGTGTACCTAATAAAGTGGCCTGTGAAAACAACATTGTTTTGAATAAAAAGTCAAGAAAAAAGGAAAATTAACCAAAACTCACAATCTAAATAAAACCCACAGAATAACAAATCATTTAACATTATACATTACATAAACTTTAAAGGTGTCTTTTTACTTTGTTGCAAAATCCTTAGATAGTGTTGAGGAATAAAAAAGCTCAACAACCCCTGGCTAACAATAATGCACTGACACCCAATATTGCTCTCATAACACTGGATTCTCCTTCAGATGGTTGAACCCTCACAGACCTTTGGCCAAGCTCCACATAGGATATGCATTTTCAGCATTTTAAGGTTTGTTTTTCCATAAGCCAGATTTATGTAGTGTGACTGCTTTAAAGCTTTTGTGGGTCCCTTGGTAGCCTCCCTTCTTTTTTGTGTTTTAATATGCATTATTTATAAATTCTGTTTTAATGCTTCATACTTTCAAGTTGTTTAGGTACCTTCTAAAGATGAAATGCAAATCACTGAAGGCAGACTGATGCCATTTTTGCGATTTAATCGCTTTGGAGAGAAATTGATATTTTAGATCCAAGAGTGCCAAGTTTCCTCTTAATGCCACTCACTTTTGATAGGGATGATGAGCTGTGGAATAACAGGAAGGACTTTATTTCCGCCGTGCTCCAGCATGTCATGGATGCCCTGTCGAGCAAAGAACTCGTAAGGGTGAACCGTCTCGCACAGTCCATCAAAGAACAGGGGGAGGTAGTGATGGTAGTCCAGTTTTTCAATCTCCACCTGTTTAAAAACACACACGAGTGCAGGGTCAGAGTTATTCTAAATGTGTCTGTTCACAATGAAATGAATGAGGGCTTCAAAGAAGCGAAGGCTAAAGGGTTTGTGTGTTTTTAAATAACCCCCTTTGCGTCTGTCCTCAACAAATACTTACAAGGTTCAATTCGCATAAAGGGCAGCCCTCGTTTTAGTGGCCCCAAGCATGCCAACGTACATTCTGGAGGGGAGACTAGAAGGGACAGCTGTTCAGGGGCTTTATAACCCCCAAACATGGGACTATCACACATTCACACCTGTTCTGCTCGGGTTATGAGCATTGAAAATAGACCTGAATAGACTAGGCCTGTTTCCTGCCCTTGAGTATTTGACATAGAGTCTCACAAATATATTACTAATTTTATGTAAGTGACACAGTCTCTGTCTGTTGGTTTTATGAAACTTCTTACACAAACATTTTTTAAATAAATATTTATTTGCTTTTTTTTATAGAGAGAAAAACATTACCTGAATATTTGAAACTGCTTGTATTTTTGCATTTAGCCAACATATTTATCCAAAGCAACTAACAAAAGAGGAATGAAGAAATTTATCAAAACATAACCCACAATGCCAGTTTTTAGACAACTAGATCACAGCACAAACTAGAGAAGAGAAGAAATGTGGAAACAGGAGAAACAGGAAGAGTGAAAGCTTTGTTGAAATGAGTGATTTATTTACATTTTTAGTCATTGTTGTGAAGAAACAACAACAATGTGAAGTTTTACAGTAGTAAGTTGGTGTAGGGAGAAACTGATTCAGTTGTAATACATTCATTCATTCATTCATTTTCCTTTAGCTTATGCCCCATTCACACGGGGGATCAGCGTCAAAGCTTCCCATTCACTTAAATGGATGACGTCAGGCATTGCCGAACTGCATTGCCTTGTTTGCAGAGGTTGGGACATTATCAACTTTTCAAACGCTGACGGAAAAGTCAGCCAATCAGATCGCTGTATGCATATACACCAGCTCAGACAGTAGCTGATTGCTTACTCATTTTATTGGCTGATGCTGCTATGACGATCGAGTCAACCCCAACTTTAGACACACCCTCGGTCAAGCGTTGATGCTGCAGCCCCTTGTGAATCGGGCTTTAGTCCATTTATCAGGGGTTGCCACAGTGGAATGAACCGCCTACTATTCCGGCATTTGTTTTATGCAGCAGATTTTTGAAAAAGTTAATAAATAAATAAATAAATAAACAAATAAAAGCCACCATAGAAACCATATTATCCTGGATATATTATCTGAAATCTATTTAAGATATTATTAAAACAAATATTTTATTTTCTAAAGTTTTTATCATTAGTTATTTTAATATTAATATACAGTAATATACATGTTTATCTATTTTCAAAGTGTACTATTTTATTGTAAAACTAAAGTATTTAAATGCATTGCGCTATTCCATTTCTTGTAAGGTTAAAAGGGGGTAGTTAAATAAGTGTATATATGTGTGTGTCTGTATGTGTGTGTGTGTCTGTGTGTGTGTGTGTGTGCCCGCGGGCGTGCATGCGTATGTGTGCATGTGTGTGTGTGTGTGTGTGTCATATGACCCTTCAACAACTGTTCTTTGTAGTCGTAGCGTCATTGATACCTGAAGCTGAGAGCTTGAAAGTCGCCAGATCTCATCAAACCCCTCCTCAAAGATGAAAGCGCACTCGCGCACACACACACAACGCACGCACACACTGAAAGCACTGATTGCTTAGAGCCAATTTACTGGCTAACCTTGACCTTTTCTGACTTGGTCAAGATCATCTTGGTGAGTCATACAGCAGAACTCAAGTACAAAAGCAAATATGTGCAGTGTGCCGGCGGAGAGATGATACTCACTCACAAACACACACACACATATACTCACACACACACATACACAAACATGTACACATACACATATGAAAAGCAAGTGGAGACACATGCAGCTAAGCAGAGACAGATGTCTCCTATCAGCGGGGTGATGTCTGTAGGACACAGTCTCAGCCTTTAGCATTAATCACTGCACAACACTGTGAGTGTTTGTGTGGGTGGATCAGGTTTTACATTATGAGAACTAAATGTCCCAACATGGATATTAAAACAACAGCATTGTGTGGACCAGACACCAATGGCTCCTATAAATAATAATGAAACTTTAAGCGAATACACTGCTGGCAAAAACAGTTTTGGCTTTTCGTAAATTGTTTTAGTGTCATTTAAAGAAAACATCCAAATGCACTTTTAAAAGTTTTAAAGTCTTTTGTCGTAGCAATTCAGTAGCACTTACACAGGTTGCCTAAACTTTGCAGCTTCATCTATATATATGTTCTGAAGGTTTTTACAGAAGAATGTTTATACATAATTTATATAAAATTATAAACAATAAAAAAAGAAAAAAATGGATTGTTTGTGAAATTTATGGCTGTTTGCCGTATCTTTTGAATTATGGAGTGATACAAAGAGATTAATTGATTTGATTACATTAAGACTCAAAAAAAGAAAGACATATTTTTTAACAAGACTACACCGAATAAAATATATGCAAAATATCACATATTTAATTCAATCATGACTCATTTGGATAGGTAAAGAGCCTTTCAGAAAAGTTGTATTACAAAAAGGTTTTCAATTCTTAATGTAATTAATCGCATGGAAAAATATAATGACTACTGTTATTATACAGTTTTACCCTATTCACATACAGTGTTTTGCTTTAAACATATAGATAGACGTGAAGACATATTAGGGCATATGAATTATGAACTAATTTAATTTCTTTTCAGCTTAGTCCCTTTATTAAACAGCGGACTGAACTGCCAACTTATTCAACATATGGATTACGCAGCGGATGTGGAGCAATCGGAAGAAACCCACACGAACACAGGGAGAACATGCAATTAATTTAAAAAACAGTCAATAAAAAGTATCTACAAGGTGGGCCATTTATATGGATACACCTTAATAAAATGGGATTGGTTGCTAATATTAGCGTCCTGTTTGTGGCACATTAGTATATGTGAGAGGACAAACTTTTCAAGATGGGTGGTGACTATAGCCCCTTTCACACAGTGATACCGGTAAATATCCGGAAAATTTCCGGAATGACTTTACCGGTATATTCAAAAAAGCGCTGTTCACACAGGCAAGGAAGTTACAGAAATTTTCCGGAAAAGAGCATTCACACATCCATTCCAAAATACCGGTAAATTCTGACATCATTCACCACAAATGAGCTTTAAACGGCTGCGCTTGTATTTGTAAACATTTGACTAAATTACAAACTCTGTGGATGATCAATATTGTGAACAACTTTCGCAGGATCACTTTCGCATGTCGAGATGTTCATAATATGTGCGTGTGCAGGCGCTCACAGGCTGTTTCACAGGCACACGCAAAGCTTGAAGGTAAACAAACAACGGCTTATCATAAGCATCTCATCGATGATTATTTACACAGTTGGCATTAAGAAGAACATATAAACGTGATCTGACTAACTTCTAGCAGCTAAATGTGTCTGGAAAAATATTCAAAGGCTTTTATTCTCATAAACCGCGCGGACGTAAATGCGTCTGACTGTTGTGATTGGCTAAAGCAGACGTCTCACGTCAGCACGTTCTAGACGTGCACGCGCTTATTACGGCAATCTTACTTTTGCATTCACACAGCGCAGCATTCCGGCAAATTGCCGGTAATGTTACAATTTCTCTTTCCGGAAAATAGCCAGAACGAATTTACCGGTATTTTCAAAAAGGACCTGTTCACACATACACACCTTTCCGGAAAATTGCCGGCAATTTTCCGGAAAGGTCTGTATGTGTGAAAGGGGCTTATGGTGGCCATTTTGAAGTCGGCCATCTTGGATCCAACTTTTGTTTTTTCAATAGGAAGAGGATCATTCAACACATCAAACTTATTGAGAAATTCACAAGAAAAACAATGGTGCACTTGATTTTAACGTAACTTTGTTCTTTCATGAGTTATTTACAAGTTTCTGACCACTTATAAAATGTGTTCAATGTGCTGTGTTACCTTGTCAATGCAACCCTCTTCTCCCACTCTTCACCCACTGATAGCAACACCGCAGGAGAAATGCCAGCACAGGCTTCCAGTATCCGTAGTTTTAGGTGCTGCACATCTTGTATCTTCACACCATAGACAATTGTCTTCAGATGACCCCAAAGATAAAAGTCTAAGGGGGTCAGACCGGGAGACTTGGGGGCCATTCAACTGCCCCACGATGACCAATCCACTTTTAAGGAAACATTCATTTATTCGTTCATTTAGGAATGCTCGAACCTGACACCCATAATGTGATGGTGCATCATCTTGCTGGTAAAACTCAGGGAACATGCCAGCTTCAGTGCATAAAGAAGGAAACACATCATCATGTACCCATGTCAAATATCCAGTGGCCTTGAGGATTCCATTGATGAAGAACGGCCCCACTATATTTTTTGTCCATGGTGTGAAGATACAAGATGTGCAACACCTGAAACTATGGATACTGGAAGCCTTTGCTGGCATTTTTCCAGCGGTGTTACTATCAGTGTGTGAAGAGTGGGAGAAGAGGGTTGCATTGACAATCCAACACAATGGGCAGCACATTGAACACATTTTATAAGTGGTCAGAAACTTGTAAATAACTAATGAAAGAACAAAGTTACGTTAAAACCGAGCAAACCATTGTTTTTCTTGTCAAATTCAAATAAGATGGTGTGTGAAATGATCCTCTTCCTATTAAAAAAACAAAAGTTGGTCCAAGATGGCCAACTTCAAAATGGCCACCATGGTCACCACCCATCTTAAAAAGTTTGCCCCCTCACATATACTAATGTGCCACAAACAGGACGTTAATATCAGCAACCATTCCCATTTTATTAAGGTTATCCATTTAATGGCCCACCCCGTACATGATAAAAACACATATATGTGTGCAGATCTCCAAGTAATGTTGTGAAAGGTTGAAGGGATATTGCGGGTTGTGA